TAACAAGAACTTCAGTAACTATGGGTTCAGCCTCATTCCGCATTCTAATCTACCTTTATGCACTTTTAATTCTCTAGAATATGAACATTTTCTTATAAATAAAATATTTCTGCCTTCCCTGAAGTCTGTTTTTAAAATAAATTCCATGAGGCAGCTTCCTCTAACTCTTCGTGTGACAGAAGTCAGAAGCTAACTAGTCGTGGCTAGAAAGGATAGCGTGTTCTCTCTCCCTGTTCCCTTCAGCTCGGCTCTGCAAGTCTTTACTGGATCTTCTCACACTTGCACTGTTTGCTTCTTCACAGCTCCTGTTTGCAGAATGTCACTGCAGACTTGTTGGCAGATGCCTCGCCCCGCCCCCCACCGTGTCTGCACAAGGAGAAGAGACAAGAGACAAGTTGGGAGGCTCATGTTGTTAGGTCCTATTATGCAGCCTAGAATTGCCAGACACCATGACAAAAAAACGTCTCTGGCAAGAAATAATGAAGAAGTGTTCCAAAGTGCACGCCAGTTTGCCAGAAATTCTGCAACAGTAAACAGATTCTTCTGCAGCACTTTGTGGTGGGTCTTATATGCTGTGTGTGTGTGTGTGTGTGTGTGTGTGTGTGCTATGTGTGCATGTGTGTATATGTGTGTATGTATTTTTGTCTGTGTGCATGCACAAGTGTGTATCTGTGTGCGTGTATGCTGTGTATACGTATGTGCATGCGTGCACGTGTGTGTGTGTGTGTGTGTGTGTGTGTGTGTGTGTGTGTGTGTGTGCGTGCATCAAGAGAACTTGGAGCGGTCAGATCTTTCCTTCTACCATATGGGGCCTGAGAATCTAACTCAGGTTGTCAGGCTTGGAGCAAGCACTTTTACGCACTAAGCAATCTCACCGACTCACCATATAATTTTTGTTAGCAAAGTTCCAAAGATTAGAAAGCATTGTATCAGAAGACCGAACATTAGAAATCAGTTCTTGGCTCTGGGCAGGACACCAAGGATTGCAGATGTGCTGTGTCCCCTTCACGGGCTTACTTTGGACTCTCTCCCAACACCTCCTAAAATAAAAGAGTGGCCCCTAGGTCTTTGATACAAGGCTTCCATGAAGTAGTTATCTGTCCCTTCCTTCCTCCAGCAGGGGTTGTTTCTTTGTTGCATTAATAGGCTAAATGAGAGTGGAGTCATTGTCTCTACTCTTCCATCCCAGCTCACTGAACCACAGACCCCACACATGTCATGACTGTGTGTCACTCAACAGCCTCAAGAGACCCAAGTTCTGAGAGACAAGCAGGACACAAACTCCATGAGCCCTCTGTCTTCCCAAGGGTCTCTTGCTCCATGGCCCCATTCTGCAGAAAGATGAGAGCTACCTGACTTCATCCTCGGCTTGCTTTCATGACGGCAGTCGCTGGCTTGATGTTTTGGTTTGGGGTTTTGTTTAGCAGAAATCCCATAGACGGACTGTGTCTAGAGCAAAAGCAAGACCCTGTGCGACTGCTCTTCTGAGAAAACTCGGGGGTGTTTTAGGCCGTTCTCACTAGAGGGCACCAGACCCTACACTTGTGTCCCGGGTGGCCCCTACTTGATCCAAGTCCAGCCTTAGGGTTGTGGGAAGCTTCTAAGGGTACATCATAAGATCAGAGAGACGGGGACAGTCTCTGTTGAGGCCAAGTGGGATTCCTGAAACAGCCTTCCAGCCTTCCACGGGGAAGTCTCTCATGTCCCTGCTTCAGGGTTCAGCTCCTCGAGTAGAGATTCTGGTGCCTGAGCAAATTCAAAGGTTCTGGAGAAAGACATCTGAGCCAAGAGTGGATGTGGAGGTATATGCTGTATATACCCTCACAGGGTAGGAAAGACTAAACCCATTATTTATGCAAAGTTGGAAGACTGGACCCACACAACCAAGCCCTCAGACAAGAATCACCATACTCACAATGTATTCCACAGTGGTTTTTCTTCCTCTTAGACCAGCAAGGCACAGGACACGGCTTACCTCCCCTTCCAGGGCTTTCCTGTCCTCACCCTCCTATACACACAATTATGGCACTGAGATACGTCCAGCGCTCACTGCAGCAGAGACTATGTATCATGTAGAACCCTGGGCATTTGTTAAGGGAGCTTCAGAGCTTTAGAGCCTGGGGCTTTGGCTGAGATCGTGCAGGAGGGCAACAATTGTTTTTCAGGATCGGGTACCATCCTGGAAATAGTAATGTTTCTTTGTATATCTTGTTACTCCTATCTGGGTCAGATGCAAGGGGAGATATAGTGAGAATTGACTAATCAGCAGCCCCCCTCACTCAGACTCGGGGAGCAATGCGAGCATTTCACCATTTACACCGTGACCTTGTTCTTACCTGTGCTTAGAGAAAATTATGAAGTTGACACATTTCTTGTCTGGCCTCATCACGGTCACAGCATGGCCTTGTCTAAGGATGCTGTTCTGTGAGATTGCTTGTGGCAAGCAAGAAGACCCCATGGCCTAGCTCTGAGCTGCAGGCCAGTCCCTGACAGCATCCGAGGTGCAGCTTTCTCAGGCTGGCTCCCAGCTGTCAGCAGGGATTTCCCCTTTCTCATCTCATTTTATGTCTTTATGCCTAGGAGTTCTCGAAGAAGAGAAAGCCTTGAGGGTCTCTGTATGTTGGAGTTCGCCTCCAGATGCAGAACTGAAGCTTGTTCACTCTGGGGTGTGTACGTGTGTGGTATGCCTGTGTGGTATGTGTGTGCTGTATGCATGGGTAGTGTGTGTGTGTGATGTGTGCATGTGTGGTGTGCCTGTGTGTGCGTGGTGTCCTTGTGTGGTATGTGTGTGGAGTATGCATGTGGAGTATGCCTGTGGGGGAGGGTGGAGTCAGGCAGATCTGGGGTGCTCACTGGCCAGTTGGCCTAGCATAACTCCCAGTGAGAGACCCTGTTTCAAAGAGCAAGGTGAGCAGCTCCTGAGGCAGAACACCCAATGTTATCCTCTGGCATACGTACACGGGGTGGGGGGGGGGAGCGCGCACAAGCATCAATTTCCCACCTGGAGATGAATAAACTCTAATATGCACAGACCTAGCTTTCTGCAGGACTCAAGCCCATGCTACAATTCTTTCGGTGGTCGTTTTTAGTTGGCTCAGCAAATGACTTCTTTCTGACAAGCTTCATTAAGACAGTCTCTAGAAAGTAAGTACAGTCTAGCTGGCTCACAGGAGGAGGACAGGGCCGAATATACAGAAACAGTGGTTTCAAGCATGGAATTACTTTGTTTCCAACCATGTCAGACCCAAATCTCCATCTTCATCTCCAAATCTCCCCCATCACAAGGAGGTGAAGCAAACAGGACCAGACCCTGTGACACCCGCCTGCCTCTCTGCCTTCCGTACAACAGGTGTGCTCGCTCTTGAGAGAGGCAAGGCGAAGGATGAGCCTGTGTTATAACATGATGTCCCAAGGTTGACACGTTACAACCACGTGGGAAATGGACACGAGATCAACATTCTTTTTCTCTATGTTCTCACGTCATTTCTGACCCTGGCCTCTCATCACCAAAATGAAGTTCGTCTTCCTTTGTTTTTAAGTCCCTCATGTGGAGTTCAAAGCTGTTTACTTCAGATGGGCACCTAAAAATACCAACACTGGGTAAAAGCCAATAAGACTACTAATCACATAGCTTCCAGACTCTGAGGCCTTGACTCATTCTAACAGGTCTGGAGAGAGGCTAATGACTTGGTAATAATGCCAACAAGTTGTTTAGAAAAGAATTCAGTTCACAAAAGCCACTGTCTGGACTTTCGAAAGAATAATTTCAAAAATTACTTTTAATCATGCGTATGTGCACACATATGAGTGAGGATGCCCTTGGGGGTCAAAAGCACCAGACGCCCCTGAAGCCGGAGGTGCAGGCACATGTGAGCTGACCGACATGGTTGCTGGGAACTGAACTCTGGGAAAGCGGTACTCGAGCACTCAGCCACTAAGCCTTCTCTCCAACCACCAGCAAGTTGACTCTTTTATCAGAAGATGAAAAGGCAAAATACTCCACTCCATTAGTGAAACATAATGGTTTTCACTTTGTTTGAAATGTTTAAATGTTACTGTCAGCAATAGGAACTAAAAAGAAAGCTAAGGTCTGGCCTGTAGGGTTGTCTTTCCATATTGAGGCCTAGTCATGGACTCAGGTCACAATTTCCAGTCCACACATGGACCCCTTGAAGTCACTAGCTGGGAAGAAAAGTCCAGATTGCGACACTGTGGGCTGTACTCTCGACCGCGGGGCAGAGTAAATGATCTGTACTCATGTACGTGAGGAGGAGGAGGGCCGCATCCGGCTTAGATTTCTGAGGTAAGGGTCCCCACAAATCAGGCCAGAAGGTTCAGATCTAGGAACATATTTCTACTGCTGGAAACCAGTGCTGATGCGACACCAGAGCTGGGAGCCACATCCTTATTTTAGGAATAGCATGTTATAACTAACAAGATCCCTCTCGAGGAGTTTACTGGGAAGTTTAACTAGCGGGCGACCACATTCTTGCCACTGATTTTCTCTGTGCGCTGTTTCTTCAACAGCAGTCGCTAGCTCCTGTTACACAAAATGAAACATGGGTTTCAGCAGCCTCGACTGAGCCGCCGCCTTTCCATGATCTAATAAGCAGCATCTCCATCACATTTTCAAAATTCAGTTCAGAGTGATCCCTTGCATGGGGAACTCACGACTGGCTCACTCAGGATGCCAAGGGCATGAAGGTCACATGTGTGATAGTACTTAGATGTGGTTCTCTATGAAGATAGGTCCTATTTTATTAATTTTTCTTGCAAACACTTGTAGAGGCAGAGTGTTGAAGTGAATGAAACCTCATGAGACAGACAGCATTGCTTAAAGTGCTTGAGTTGGTTACATTTTTTTTTAAAAAAAAAAGCAAAGATACAGATTATTTTAAATAAAAACTACAAGCTTTTTTTTTTTTTAAGCAACAAAATCAAGTGAATGCCACACACATACAGTCGCTATTTTGGTTACAGAAATAGGAGCCAAAAATAAGTTAATGTAATACTAGAAAACAGAAATTTAATTAGGCAGAAAAATAGGCAATAATTTTCTCTGGCCCATGCCATTTGCATGAGCTAATCACAATGGTGCTGGCCAATGCCTTGACCAGGTAACAGCAAACCAGGAGAAAACATTTAGTGCACAATATTTTTAATACACATGAATATACAAAATTGATCAAAATGAAATGTTTAAAAGATAAAATCCATCCATAATAAAGCTACACTCCAGTATCTAAAATAAGCCTTAATTGCCAGTTAGAACATACTTTCCAATTAGACATGCCCATGAGATTAAGGGTACCCATGAAAACAAACGCACAGGGACCATTTCTGTCGATTTCCATTAGTCTGGAATATAACCAGGACTGTAAACCACATGGGAATGGCTCCCTATTCAGACTGACACCCTGATTGTACTGTTCCTGGCTCTCTTCAAGCCAGTCTACCTGATGATGGCTTGGAATGGAAAGAACACATCAATGGGACAGCACTACATGCGTCACCATTTTACTAAAGTTTGCTTTGAAACGGAAGATTTTAGCATACTGTACCAGAATCTAGATGTTAAACTAGCAAGTAACCAAAAAAACCAAACATCTCATTTTTAAAAAAGTTTTTAAGTCTCTTTAAAGATACTGTAATTTCTTTTTAAATACCCAGCAATTACAGAAATTAAGAGAAACACAGCAGGCTTACTTCTCCTGCTGGAGAAAGAACACACAAACCCCCATCTAGGGGACAGTTGCTGGGTCTTTGTGCTATCGCTGTGACCTTGGAGTGGTCTCACGTGCTCCGCCGCCACTGTCATTCCCTGCTTTATGCCAGGAACCAGGGACGGCAAGTTAGAACATGATTTTTCTATGAAAAGAAAAATGATAGGGGAGGGGGGTGGAACAGAGCTGCCTCGAGTTTGTTTTCTTTATTGAGAAAGAGGTAAATAATTACCAGACAGTCCTACGTTTTAAAAATGGATGGCGTGTTGATGGAGATTTGTATTTGGTCCTTCTCCGATCTTTTAGCCCTGCACCACAACCCGCTGAAGGTTAGTGCAAGTCTCCGTGCTTATCTCCTTCTATTCAAAAAACCTCTTCGTGAATGCTGAATTTAACATACTTTTTTTTAAAAAAAAGCAATGACTTTGGTTACATTACTGGGGAAAGCTTTATGTGTTCGCCAAAAAAAGAAAGGAAGGAAGGAAGGAAAAGAAAGAAAAGAAAAAAGAAATGAAAAATGGTGCTGAACCTTACAGTAGCATTTGGGCTTCCAATTGAAACATTTTTGCTTAATAAATTAGCTTCAAGAGTTGTTTCAAAGACAATTTTAATAGCTTTTGTTCTATGACCAGTTCCAAATGTATTAGAAACCAATAATCATTTTCTTAACCTGTATAACCCACAGTTAAATATATGGGCTGGATGTGGGACCAACATTTCCTTCCACCAATCACTTCCACCTAGAGAGTCCTCTCTTCAACGAATAAAGGTCCACCTCCAAGGTAAGTGATTAATAAATATGCTTCATGGGATGGGGGGAGACAAAGTATTTATAAATATGCATTTGCCTCTAATCAAAGCAAGGTCCATTTTCACCACTTGCAAAAGACAACAATATGAAATGACCCTGTTCCGCCTTCTCCAGGGAAGACCGAAACACCTCCCTTCAAGCATGATCAAATGAAAGATCGGGATGCTTAAGTTCTGAGCCCTAAACAGTTCAAGATATTTCAAAAATAACAAGTCCAGTTTTCACCTAGATAAAGTGCTATCCTCAAATGGCCACTGACATCTTCAGCTGCAGTTTAGTTCACATTACGCCAAGAGTCTGCATGTTCGTCCGCCGATGTGTTAGGTCACAACATAACATGTTCACAGTATATTCTAGTGTATGGAAGTCAGCTGACGTCCCAAAGGAAGCCAAGATCTATGACTCATTGTAGGAAAACTAAAATTAACTCAACAGTAAAACACCAAATCAACCCTTTTGATAAAAGGTACCAATATTCAAATGCTCTAATAAATACACACATAACAAAAGGGAAAAATAGTGAGATGAGGGTCTCCCAGGAAACTGTCTTGTCAAGCACTCTAGGAATCTGAGTCAGAGAACCAGCCGCCATCTTGTTCACCCTCCACTCACCCCTTAACACTTCCTGTGACCCATTTCACAATCCACAACTCCAGCATTCCCTTCAGGGAGAGTTTTGTTTTAGCCCCGGAACTCACCAGTGCCCCCGTAAACAGACTGAATATGGTTTTTTGTTTTTGTTTTTTAAATAAAAAAGTGAAGCTGTACAATCTGCTGATGGTTGTCAAGGTGAACAGGGCTTTTGATTCATCTTCCTCATCTAGGAAGAATGTTGGCATTAACTGGCTAACAAGAGAGACGTGCCAGAGGCAGCCAACTGGTATCTTAACCTCGATACCATTGATGGCAACACATCAGCAGGACTGGAAAGACTGCTTGAAAAAACTTAGCAGCCAGATCCAAGAAAAACACAACTACAGGACCTGACAGGAGGAAATGGTCACCGAAAAGGGACAGCAGTGCATTGCTTTCCAGAAACTTGGCTTTCGGTAGAAAGAAAAGTAACTTTTCACTATCCGCAAAAACATCTTCCTCTTGGCTTTGTCTGCCCTGAGCTTCATAGTTGTAGCCCCTGGGATCTATCAGCTAGGTAAGCAGGGCTGGGTGCAACGCCGGCCACCATCGACAGCCTTGCTTCACCCTGTTCCAAGGCAGAGGATGATCTTGGCATCGACGTCACTCGCATTTAAACTTTCACTTGCACAAACTTAAAGCTATGGTTGCAGCCTTAACGGGTGCACACCTATCCCCTGCTGTCAGAGGAGGCAGGCAAGCTAACAACGGGTAGCAATGCTTCCAGGGATATGTCAAAGGAATGCATGGGAAGGAGACCCTGGAAACCATTCGGGAAGCCAAACAAACACTCCAAATGGGCTGTGACATTTACAGACGATGTCACTCTAGCTTAGTCAGACATGACAAGCGGCATAACATTCATCTCAGTCTTCGAATCAGCGACGGTTATTCATCTACATCTGACTGGCAACTGACTGCAGTTCACTCTGTCTCAGACCAGAACAAACCCAGGAGTAGTGCTGCATGTAAAAACACAAAGGAAGGAAGGTTAACACTGTCAGACCAGTGGGCATCAGTGATAACGCTAGTGGGCCGCGGGCGGGGGAGAGGAAGGTCTGCAGAGAAACGAGGCTATAGTGCTTTGAGTATCTCCCCGCTGGAATTAGTCCCACGCTCCTCTAGGTTATTCTCTCGACTGATAGAATAAAATATATCCAGATTCTGAATTTTTTGATATATCTGACGTCAGACCATAGAATTCTTCAATAGCTTGAGCATCTATTTTCTGCAATGAAGAAAAAAAATTATTGTAATTATTTCCTATGACTCCTAAGCAAACAAAATCTAAAATGTAAGAAATATGAGTTCGTGTAAAAGTACAATTAGGTACTTTTGAGGGAAAATGGTTAATTCTATAGATTTGACAGATGCAAACTGCTGGGGGCGGGGGAACCAGCCCTTCCATCTAACCATTACTGTACATAGATGTCCTTTAAAAGAGCCAGGAAGTTTGTCTTTCAGATAGTAATCTGAGGGGTCTGTGAAGAACCTCCATGCTTATGAGAGTTCACTCCCTTAGGTGTCTATTCTACTGAAACAGCTACCCTAGTGGACTAAAACAATCCCACCTTTGAGGGTAGAATTTATAATATTCCTTTACAAAAAATAAATAAATACCTGAAGTGCACGGCTGCGATCTAAATATTTCCTTACTACTGAAAAGCGGGGTTATTTTAGGTACCATTTACAACAACTGCCCACCCCAAACCCCTTCTTTACCCTGTGCCCATGGCAGAGCAACCTGCACACCTACCTCTACAATGTCGTCGTCGAACAACAGCCAGAAGCCATGGCTCTTCACAATGGTGATGTAATGTCCACGGTTAGGACCACTGGAAAAGAATGAAGGAGGCAAAGTCACCAGGTAAATAGTCCTTTCTTTATAATGCTCCAATTATCAATGCAAAAATCTAATGTCATCAAGTAGAGTAGGCACACTGGCAACTGGAGACGGAGGCAGGGGGTCCAATCCAGCCTGGGCACTGTAGTAGGAGGAGCAGCGGGTTGCGTCCCACCATTTGGCTAGCTTAACCCCTGAAATGACCACATTGAAATTGTATTAATTAAATCACTGCCTGGCCATTAGCTCTAGCCTCTTATTGGCTAACTCTCACATCTTGATTTAACCCATTTCTAATAATCTGTATGTCACTAGGAGGTCGTGGCTTACCAGGAGAGATTCTAACCTATGTCTGTCTCAGGCCAGAGATTCATGGCGTCTGCCTATCTGTCCTTCTTCCCAGCATCCAGTTCTGTCTACTCCGCCTACCTAAGTCTGCCCTATCAAAAGGCCAAGGCAGTCTCTTTATTCAACCAATGAAAGCAACATATAAACAGAAGAACATCCTACACCAGGGCACTACAGAGATATGCTGTTTCCAAATTAAAAGAACTGTGTACTAGCTTTGGTCTAAGTGTACAATTTTGGCAAAGCACCTGGGCGCTGGGACTGTGATGATCATGGGGTAAGGAAGGTGCAGTACAGAGGCCCAGTGGGGAAAGCATGCATTCAAATTCAGTTAACCTTAGGAATTCCTGCCGGGCAATGGTAGGGCACATCTTTAATCCCAGCACTCGGGAGGCAGAGGCAGGCGGATCTCTGTGAGTCTGAGGCCAGCTTGATCTACAGAGTGAATTTCAGGACAGGCTCCAAAGCTACACATAGAAACTCTGTCTCAAAAGACAAACAAATAAACAATTTTTTTTGAAAAAAAATTAGAAATCACTGTGTACTTATTACACACCAGAAAAACAGTGAACAAGACAAAGTACCTCCCCCTTCTCTTGGGACTTGATGTTATAGGTTGAATGTGAGCCCCAAAGTTTGTGAGTTATTCATTTAATTCTTAGCCCCCCACCCACATGAGAGTGTACCTGTTCCAGAGATCAGGCCCCTTCCCCTGTCTTGGACTCTTTTCCCACATGGTGTCTTCTGCTGTGTCCTATGTGACAAGAGAGCCCAGATGCACTTCTGGGACTTTCACCTTACCCGCCTAAAAGAACTGTGAGCCAAATGACCCATATTATATAAAACTTACTCAGATGAGTACTTTGCTATAACAGTACAAAAGAGCAAGGTGGCGGGTGGGGGTCCCATCAGCTATAAACAAACCAACCACATAAACACACAGGAGAAGGGCCGTGATGCTGGGGAAGTGGCACAAAAGGAGAGCTCTCGAATGTGTGATCCTTGAAGGAGGCAGGGCTGGGGGGAGAGAAGTCATGTGACGGTATGAGGGACGCTCCAGCCAAGTAGAAAGCAAATACACGCCAATCAATTCAGAACAACGGGAGCCAAGAAACTCCGGAGAGGACAAAGCAGAGAGAGGGTCAAAGGGACAGACCTTCCCGGCACCATATCACAGTAGCTACGAGGTCTGCCTCTGCCTGAGCACACCAGGAAGATGCCGGGAAATTCTTACCAGAGGCATTATTTGCTTAACGCTTCAGAAGTACATTACAATGCATGACTGCATACGCTAGGATGCGTGGCTCTATATACTATGCACTCTGGGAAAAGCAATGGGAGGAAGTAACTGCATAGCTGCACTAGATTTATACAAAATGGAGACCTTAATCCTAAATCTAGAATTGCTTTTTAATGTACATATTCCTAAAGTTGAAAAACTGAACTCTTTCCCCCTCATCACTTACCATGTGTGTGTGTGGGGGGGAGAACATGTATGCACACGGGTGCACGGGGGTGTGTATATGTAAGCCAGAGGTTGATATGGTGTCTTCATCAGTTGGATACTCTGGACGGCTCTCTTGCTCAGGGAATTCCCTGTTTCTAGCTGCCAAATCCTGGGATGATGGGCAGGTTGCCATGCCTACTTGGCTTTTACCTTGTTTCCAGAGATCTGAATGCTGGTCCTCATTCTTGTGGGGCGAGCACTTTATGCATAAGCCATCGCCCCACCTCTCATTGACTGTCTCTACACACAAGATGCTGCAGAAACTCAGCAGTCCCTGTCTCTCCCACCAGCTACTTCTGCCTCCCGAGCTCCAGTCTGCTGAGCTCCCACACACACATACCTGTCATCTGCTTGTGCGTGGCCCCCGCCTCTGTCTTAACTCTGACTGAACAGGCCTCTTCTACACTTGTAGTCATGGCTCATTCCACCCATTCAGCCTCCCCAGACAGCCCTTCACTGGTCACCATCCTTGAACCAGCATCCTTCATCCCCTTCTCCTTCCTCTTCCTGCTTCCGTATCAGAGCACGGATCAGCATCCTAAGTTACCTGGCAGAGGCTGAGTAACTGATGCAGGCCACAGTGTGCACACTTGCCCATCTTCCCCACCAGACCCTAAACCTGATTATGTTCGTATGTTCAGATCCTGAGAGAGAACCCAGGAAATAAAGAGTTCAGACCCCCAGAAGCCATCCACTCCCTGCCCATGTCAGCCCCATCGTATATAAAGGAATGGACTTCCTCTACAGGGAGATGCAAACAGCTGTTAATAACAAGTGAGAATTAGTTCTCAGAGTCCCTTGTGGCCAGGGCTGCTGAGACTTTGTATCCCCATTAAAGAAACTGATGATTCCAGAGCCCGGCCTCCCCAGGGATCTGCCTTGCCCTCAAAGGTCGTCCCAAGAATAGAACTGGGCACTGAAAGCTAAACTAAAGTGTTCAAGCACCCTGCCCATCAGTACCTCTACTTCCTCCTTGCCCAACCTCCCTGGAACTTCTTGCTTGCCCACTCTCTCATCCCCACCCATGATGCTCACCAATCCCCAGGCTCTACCTGCCCAAGATCTCTCCTTCTCCACTCCACTGTGGGGCCCCCCGTGTTCGTGACCTGGTAGTGATCACTGGAGCCCTATGTTCCTTAGACAAATAACCACTGGAACTATTCAGCGGAGCACAACTAGCCACTAAATAAATCTAACTTCCTGAGAAGAAACCATTTAGCAACCTGAAGTGGCATGCTCAGGACAGAATATGGGGAGTGTCAGATGTGAAGTCGTATGTGATGCCATCCTCTCCATGGCTGGGTGAGAAATTCATCAGCCCATTCCTGACAAGGTGACGGTGGCACCTGAGGTATATTCGCAGTCTCCAAACCAGGCAGAGAGGAAAAGACAATTGCAAGATGATGTCCTGTGAACCAAAACCCACACCCATGGGGACCCTGTCCCCCTCCCAAGAGAGAACGAACACCCACTTAGCCACCCCAACCAGATGAAGAATGGACGGAAGCTGGTGAATTTTCAATATTCTTTTCCCATGGTTACATCAAAAATTGATTTTTTTTTAAATACGCAAAGAACATTCAGGAAAGCCCTTTGCTTCTTCAGACCTGGAGGCTTCCTTTCTGTCTCGTGTAAATCCTACTATAGAATGTGGGGAAATGGAACCAGGAAGGAATCTCAGCAGGTAGACATTCCCTGCTAACCTGCCGACTTAAGTTCAATTCCCCAGGATACACTCAGTAGATGGAGAGCGACCCAACTCCCACCGGCTGACCTCAAACATCTACTCTCAGGCTGAGGTGCACACACGCACTAAATACTGTGATCTTTTTAAAAGAGTTGTGTTTTTTAAACAAAATAGAATTGGGGACATGCTGAAAGTTTCATAAAAACATTTTTAAGAACAGATTTCTGATTAATCAAAATGTCACAAAATTATTACATCTAATCTATTGCTTCCAGGTTCGATTCATACATATTAAAATACGTTTCAGATCATGATTTTTATATATACACATGAGCATATATTATGCATGTGTGGTTTTCTATATTTAATTTTTAATTATGTGTGTCTGTATGCCTGGGGCTGAGGCCAGAAAAGTGTTAGCTCTTCTAGAGTCGAAGTTTCAGGGGGTTCCGAGCCACTGGATACTGGTGTTGAAATTAAGCTCAGGTCTGGAAAAGCAGCACATTCATTTAACTGCTGAGTCATCTTGCTAACACCTACACATAGCTTTGTAAAACATAAAATCAGGGGTGGTAGTAGAGAGGGCTCAGAAGTCAAGAGAACCCAAGTTCGGTTCCCAGCACCCACGGGAAATGACTTACAGGCATCTGTAACCCAGCTGGAACCACCACCTTTGGTCTCTCAGGCACCTGAACCCGCAAGCACACACCCACATGCAGACACAGACCTATACATAATTAAAATAAAAATAAATCCTTAAAATATACAAAGGAAATCATAGCATAAGCATTTATTTTTCCATGTTACTTTAAACCCATCACCTGCGTCATTTCTATCCAAAGGAGATGAAATTACGTTCCGTAATGATAGAACATTTGGATTATCATTGCTCTCATGTTATTTCATATGCATTTACAGGTCTGATCGTGAAGAGGCATGTGCTCCATACTGACAAACTTTTTCTTAATGACACCGTACATGGGTCAGTAGTACTATAATAGTACATCATCTGGTCTTCGTGTTAAGTACCCTTGATGACAACCACATGGTGAAGTCAGGTAACATTGTATATCTTAGGATACACCTCCAGATTAAGCATTTCTGCATATTTTGGGGGTGATCAATAAGAATTTGAGTGGCAGTTCCAGAAGGACGACTGTAGCCCTGTAGGGGCATAGCTGGGTCTATCTTGATGAAGGGACGAACATCTATATTTATGACAGAAACTTGTCCCCCAGCCCACTTTACCTTCCACAGTGAACAACGACAGCGACCAGGTCATACATGCGGTCCAGGTTCACAGCATCGCTGGAGGTGTTGAAGAGTCGGAGCTCCAGAGGGAAGACCACCCGGTAAGACAGCTTGGTATACCTGTGCAGCTGCTCCATGTACTTGAACCTCTTCAGGTGCAGGGCCAAAATCATGGGCAGCTTTTTTACCCTCATCCTAAGAGAGCATGGAACAGAAAACCATTTGTGGCCAGTGCCCAGTAGAGGAAGGAAACACACGATTGCCTGCACAAACGAGAGCAGGGAGGGGCCCAGCAAGTACCCAGACTTTTCACAAGCAGAAAGGTGTGCTTGTCTACGGAGTCCAGCACACCCTGCAACCTTGGCTAACCCAAGTAAGAGAAAAGCACGGCCATGCATCTCCATGCGGTCGCGGCAGGCATTTTCTTGCTTTGCCTCTGCCTGCAGAATGGAATGCATGTAGACAGTCCACTCCCTAGCATCCTCCAGATAGGAGGGCTAAGAAATGAAGAAAAGGAAGCTGGGGAAAAGACCAGGTAAAATGATCCAGACAGAACTTGAGGCGCTAAAGACCAGCAGAAGGAAGTTTCTGGCACATAACTGGGCATCAAACACCATGAAGTGCCAGGCTCATGCCTACTACCTCACTCTTGTGGTTTTTGTGCCATGGTTCTCACTATCAGTGTTTACAAAGTGTACAGGTGATTTTAGGGCTATTTTCACAAACTAAACTCCAAGGTCCTGGTTACATTAGTAAGTTGGAGGGGGGTGGGGGCTATGGTCAAGTTTGAACAAGGCTTCCTCCCATTCAGAAACCTCCACACAGAATAGTGCACTGAAGGTTTTGATAAACACTGCCCTGGAGGAATAGTTCTGGTCCCAGCCGAACAAAAACAGCTCCCTCCTCACCCACTATCTGACCATTAATTAACATTCCTGGGCAAACTACCACACAGGAACAGCTCATGTGGATAACATGGCTAGCGTGAAAAGTACCCTGTTCTCCTCGCCCAACCCTAACCCTACCCCCACTAGTGAATGTGTTGAGTTAACACAAACACTGCTAGACCTGTGCACATTTTAGTATGTATTGTTCAAAAGGGACCGATTCCGAGAGATTATTTCTTGAGGCATCTACTAAGGCAAAAAGTAGGCAAAAAGACCTCATCACAAAAATAAACAAAATCAAAACATCTCTAGGGACAGGCAGGATGGTACATGCCGTATAATCCCAATGCTTGGAAGGAGGTGGAGACAGGAAGAGGGCAGGTTCTAGACCAGCCTGACCCTGTTTCGTGAAAACAAATCAGTAGATAAATAGTAATTATATGAAACCTCCATATTTCACAGGAACATACGTCATTTTAATACATGAAACCTCCTGGTTGAACAGAAATACCTTCCTGCCATACAAGTAGACCCAGGCTGCCTGAGGCAGAGAGTGAGTGCCTCTGGATGGGAGCAGAGTCAATGTCCACTAACAGACAGCATCTGCTGCCTGTTGGCCTTGAAGGAAGATGTGCGTGGGTAGGGTAGAAGGTGAGAGAGGCAAGGCAGAAAAATCATCAACTTCAGGTCTAGAGCCTCCGTTTTAGAGGGTGCCACTGAGTATCTATGAGCTACTTTGAAATCTCCAAAACAAACGAGATAAACTTATCCCAAGTAGGAGTTCCCAGGAAGATGAGACTTTCTGAGAATGGGGAACAGCTGGTTAGTTCAGAACATTCAAGAGTTGTAACTGGCAGGTCCTGGCAAAAAAGAGATGGGATCGTTTTGTTTCATTTTGGTTTTTGTTTGTTTGCTTGCTTTGGTTTTTCAAGACTGGGTTTCTTTGTGTATCCCTGTTCCTCCTACTAATGCCTATTGCCTCAGAGCTCCTCATTAGACAACAGATACTTTTTAAATCTCTGGATGTAAAGAAGAGGGCCAAGGTCTGCAGGCAAAGCAACAACGCTGCCTGTACTGTGCGCTATGCACGATGAAAGGTGCCTTCTATAGTTTATCTTTAATCCCAAGGGGGCAGTGAGCATATCAGATCCCCACTTGCTTACCAGCATGGGATCTGGCACACTTGGTATTTGTTGAGGATTAATAGAAGAAGCAAACTGACAAACAGTAGGCCAGCATTCCCATCAGGGCTTTCTCGATGAGGAAGGTCACTGACTCCCAGGCTCTGTGAAGCTGAGATCCCTTCTGACAGGAGCCACCCGCCCCCACCCCTCCTTCCTCCCCACCCTCCCACTCCCCCACCCCCACTTGGCCCCTCGCACACCTCTTCTGAGCCTCCTGTTTGCTGCAACAAGTCTCACAATAATATTTTTGTTCGCTACACAGCGTTTCTGTGTTGCTGAAGTCTCTGTAAAGAAAAATATTTTCACCTTTTAAAAAAGTCCAGACGCACTTAATGCCCCACATTTAAAGCCCCCTATTACCTGAAGGATAATTTCCAAGCGAACGTGGGGAAAACAATAATCACAAAAGAGCCTTCTTAAAGCTGAGACTGCCGCACCATTAGAACATGTCTGCAGACCTGGGCTATGGCTTCGCCATGAGCGGTTTGGAAATACAGCTTGATGTAAGTAAGCCAGGCATGTTGGCACACACCTCTAATCCCAGTACTCCAAAGACTAAAGGTAGGAGGATGGGGCGTTTGAAGCCAACCTAAGCTACACTGTGAGATCAAAAGCAAGCCCTGTCCCCAAACAAAACCAAACAAAACTGTTTTTAAGGGGACCGGGACAGATACGAACTAGAGTTTCTAACAGACTCAGGAGGGGAAAAGTCAATGTTCAGTAATAATAACAATACTTGTAGGCAGAAAAATAGCATCTACAGCAAAAGCCTACTCTTACATCATGAGGTCCCCAAAAGAAAACCATAAAATCCAAAGTGACATTTCTATGTTAAGTAAAAATGGTATCTCAGCGGTTCCATGTCTCAAAGATCAGAACTAACTATACACAACTGCCCTTCTAGCCAGCTAAGAAAACCCTAAGAAGAGTCTGGGGGTTTAGCATAGGTGGTGGAGTACCTGCCTAGCACACGCCTGCGGCCCTGGGTTCCATCAGTAGAGCTGTGTAACCCAGGTGGGTGCTGCGCGCCTATGATTGTTACATTAGGGAGGGAGAAGCAGAGGAGCAGGGGTTCCAGGTCACCCACCACCTAGAGAGTCTGAGGTCAGCCTAGGCTACATCACACACACACACACACTCCCGCACACGCTCTCTCACACACACTCTCTCACACATACACTCTCTCACACATATACTCTCTCTCACACATACACTCACACACACACTCTCTCACACACACTCTCTCACACATACACTCACACACACACTCTTACACAGTTGCACTCTCTTACACATACACATATTCTCTCACACTTTCTCACACACACTCTCTCACACATACACTCCGTCTCACACATACACTCTCTCACACACATACACTCTCACACACATACACTCTCTCTCACACACACACTCTTGCACACACACTCTCTCACACATATACTCTATCACACATATACTCTACCACACACATTCTCTCTCTCTCTCTCTCTCTCTCTCTCACACACACACACACACACACACACACACAAAATACAGCAGAGACTTTCCACCCAACCCTGCTCTCCCACACACCCCAGGAGAAGCACTTCAGCCACCTGCCTTTTAAAAACAAAGACCACTGTGGCTGTCAGGGTATAATCTCATCAGAAGGTTCTGCTGCTTCTTAGAGTTTTCAGTTTCTAAATGCCGCAGCCTTTTTTATTCTTTTCTGGATCGACTCTGCATTTCTGTGGCCGGCTTCAAAAGGCTAAAAACAATATCTAGACTACACTATCCTGCAGTTTCCAAAATGCCTGTTGACACGTCCTTCTTCACACAGTCTCCCAGAAGCAGAATGATCAGGTTTTATTAAACAGAAATTGGTGTTAATGATCTATCACTTACACAGAACACATTAAAAGGAAGTCATTACCCATTTGCTAAATTTCCAGATAGCTGCTAGGTCCTGGGGATTTGGAGAATAACTATACTCAGACAGAGACAAGGGAAAATGAGCAAGTAAGTGTAGCTTCGTCATAACCACTAGAGGTGATCCCCTGCCTAAGACCCCTCTAAAGTTTCCTCCTGCAGTCCAAGTCCCACACCACAGGCCCGGCCATGGAACCCCCAACTCCTGCTCTACTCTGCCTCTTCCTGATCCAGCCACCTGGGCCACCTGGGCCTTGGGGCGCCCTCAGCAATGAAAGTGCTTCCCAGAGGCCTCCATGGCTGGGAAGGCTAACTATTCAGAACTCAGTGAAGCACCCCTTCTCCACACTGGATTTCCCTGACCACATAAGGAACCCCGTCAGGCTCCGATCCCACTGTGGTTGGCTTTTTTTCGTTTGCTTGTTTTGTTTTTAAAGGTGTGTGTGCACACACGTATATACTGCACAGAGGCCAGAAGAGAGCATCGGATGCCTTGCTCTCCTCATATCCCTTTGAGGTAGGTTCTCTACCCAAACCTGAGGCTCATGTTTTCTCAGCTGGTCCTAAGATCCAGCATCATCCTGCCTCCAGACACCTCAGAACTGTGATGACCTGCATGCACAAGATGAGGGTTTTATTACCTGGATGCTGGACCCTGAACTCTGAGCCTCGGTATTACATAGTGAGTGCTCTTAAAAGAGCAGAAAAAGATCTCGTCTGTTTTGTTCTCTGGTAGATATCCAGCCTGATCCTGATGTATAAATGGATGTATGGATGGATGGATGGATGGATGGATGGATGGATGGATGGGTGGGTGGATGGGTGGGTGGATGGATGAACAAAAACAGAAGAATAAAGTCCAGGGGGAAAGCAGAGAGAAAACAAATGCGTACTGGAATAATCCAGGTATTTCACTAAGAGGCAATGTCCAAGTCAGGTTCTCACAGAAGGAGGCGTGTCAGGGAAACACAGATGTAAGGCCCAACACGTGGGTGTGCAGGAGGGCCACAGCGCAGCCTCAGGTATTACTAAAAAGCCGGCAGGGCCCCACAGTTCAGTGGCTCCCGAACAGGCCTCACCACAGGACAGACACACGCTGAGACCGCTGCTTTCAATAGCCCTACAGAGAAAGGCTTGGAAAAAGTTAGGAGGTAAGGAAATCTTTGACAGGCAATCATGACGAACCGCCAGATTCCAAGTCCTTAGAGAGCAATCAGACTCAAATGCAGCTAAATGAAGACCTCACCAAGTAACTGCTGTGGAAATTTTGCTTGGGAGTGTTTCCTTGATCGGAACAATCAAAGAAAACACACCAAAGAGCAAGGAACCACACACATTTCCATCTTAAAAACTAAGCATGCCTTGTAGGCGGAGATGGGGTAAAATACAGCAGAAGCTCTCACTGACAGAGCGTCCCCCATCTCACATCCGAAACACTTCCAGACCCACGCATTTAGACAAACGTGTTGATTGAAAGGCCCAGTTTAAACAGGCCACCACCCTCCCCAGTCCCCGCTAGTCAGAGGCACAAGCCACAAGAAGAACCATGACTGCAGTCTTGACAGTGAACCTGAAAAATGGACAGGGAAGGTAGGCCATGAGGGGCTAGTCTGGCAGTGGCGGAAGCAGAGCAGCCCTGCAAGGTCACCCTGGTGGCTCTTGGAATGCGTGCTGCACATCTGTGCTGCAAGTCTGTAAGTGCAGGGCTCAGGGGCTGAGGCAAGGAGGACCGAGGGTTCAAGGCCAGCCTGGAATGCCTACCTCTATGTCTCACCACAATATCAAAATAATAATAAAGCAAGTAAGAAAGGTTGGGGGAGGTTTTCCAACGCCGAGTTAAAAGAGTCAGGAGGCATTGGAGAGATCTTTCTAGAAGTCGGGATAAATTTCTGATGCACGGAGAAGGCTGGGGAAGGACACAGCGCTCTGTGTTGCTTTAAAAAGGGTCGTAGTAGCAATCAAACACTATTTTAAGGTTCACCATGGGAACAAATCTAATAAGAAATGCAAACCTTTATAAAGAAATTTGAAAGCTTCACGGAGACATCCCCAGCCTGAGTGAGTGGAGGAAAAGCTGTTCCTGGGTGGGAAGGCGTTCCCATGTCACAGACATCGAGCATGCCCAAGGAACGTGCAGACTTTTCATAGCTTCAATTAAGATACTTGTTTTAAAATAAAGTTTTTATTACACTTGATTTTCATTATGTGTGTATATACGCATGCGAACATGCAGATGTGGAGGTCAGAGGGCAATTTATGGGACCTGGTTCTCACCTTCCATCACACGGAACCTGGAGATTGAGCTCAGGTCGCGAGGCTTGGCATCAGGCACCCTTACCCACTGAGGCACCTCGCTAGCCTCAATTAAAATCTTAATCAAGTCAATAAAATAGAACCAACACTGAATAGTGTTATTTTTGTTTCTCCCTTCTCCTCCTAGACCCAACCAAGGCCATACCTTCCTTCTCTCCTTAGAAAACCAGCAAATAAGTGAACAAACCAGAATTTTAAAAAAGAAAAAAAAATACAACACATAGACACACTCAAAGAAGCAACAAAAAACTCAGAAACCATAATATAGAAGCAAAAGACCAGTAAGTTTAAAAATAAAAAATAAACCTGCCCAAACAAAGCAACAAGAGTAAAAAACAAAAAACAAAAAACCTACAAAATGCCGTTGAGTTAGTTTGGTCACTCTGTGCTGTCCACCCTGAAGTGTAGTTTGTATATCTAGGGAGACTCCATTGGAGAAAAGCAATTTTCCCTTTGCAGGTGGGTGTCAATTGGAGAGAAAGAGCTTCTTGGTTAGGGTGGGAGCGCATATGCACCCTCGAGAAAATCCTTAGGCAATGACACCCAGGAGAAGCACACTGGGGTAAACAGTGTCATAGCCCATGACCTGCAAGCGGTTGTGGGTTATGACAGGGCCAGGATGTGCACAGTGTCTCCAGTGGTGAGGTGAGGCGTGGACACACACACACACACACGTAACCCATGCTCCCTAGTGCTGGGTGGGAGAAGCTTTGTTCAGGGATCTAGATCACCTATCCCACCAGCTAAGCACTAGAAAATGTGACTGTGACGTTGGGGAACAAGAAGATGGCTCAGTTACTAAACTGCCTGCCTGTTTTACAAGCTTGAGGACTTGGCTTTGGTCCCCAGCACCCACGTAAGAGCCAATTGGTGGGAAGGCACACATCTGTAACAGGTAGCAGTGCTTGGGAGGCAAGTTAAAAGTCAGATCCTTGAAGCTCCCTGCAAGCCAGCTTAGCTGAATTAGTAAATTGCAGGGTCAGAGAGAAATCTCAACAACAAAGTCCAAAGCAAAGAAAAGAAACAGGAAGTTGTTGCACTTTGAATGCCTTGCCACTTC